GAGCAGAGATGGCAGAAAGGCACAACACCCATTCCTCAGCCTCACTTGTTCACAGGCTGCTGCAATAAATGAAATCTCCATCTCTGCTACACTGAAATGCAGCAGCTGATGCTCACCAGATGTAGCCCAGGAGTTCACTGCCTCCCACTTACAGGTATCACAAATCTGAGCTTTAGAGCTGCTAACTATTACAACTTCCAAGGCAAAACTACAATCAGATCATGGAAAGGTTCAATCAGCCAAACGGCAAGCACGGTTCTGTACAATAGCATTAGCTGTGGCTTCTCAGGTCTTGAGACCAAACACAGGCTTAGGTCACCAGTTGTGGTTTCCTCTGACTGAGTTGGACTTGGCCAAAGAACAAAGGTACCAATCTCAAGCTTTTTAAGGTAAAGCAGAGGGCCTGGCCACCCTACAGCACTGTGTATCCTGGCACAGCTTCATGGGCAGTGCCAGCAGAAAAACTTCATCCTGACACAGCTGGACAATCACTGCAACTCTGCCAGAGAACAAGGAGAAAGAGAAGTTGTCACCTCCACACTGCCAAGCATTTTACAGAATTCATCATGTTTTCCACTGAACATCTTCCTTTTGCTGTCAGCCTGACAGGAAAATGCAGCAATCTGCAGAAGAATCTGACACTGGCACTTCCTAACATCCTCTGTGGTGACTAAGTCCTGTCAGTGGCCCCTGGCCTGCTGGCTCACAGACAGTTGTGTTAAATCAGGAATGAACTCTGGTCCATGTCATCTTGGTCTCAAGTTTAAACATTTCTGAACCTTGTGACTATGAACAGGCTGAGCCCACTTGCTGCTTTCAAAAATTTCAGGCTAGTTTCTTGAGCCAATTACATTGTGCAGGGCAATTCTTAGCTCTGTCAAAACAGCTTTTGGTTCTTTGGAACACGAATGAGAACGAGGCTGCCAAAGTGTGTGGAAAATGAAATTCCAGCTGCTGCTGCCAGAAAGTTACAGGAGAATACCATCCACACAGAAACATGTGCTGAAAATAGGAGTGTCTGGATGCTCTTTTCTCTGATGGCTCCTGTGAGATGAGTGTAACCTGTCTGGTACAGACCTGCTGAAGCCTTTGAGGCCTCTCCTCCCGCCCTCGTAGAGCTCTGGGTCGTCGCTGTCCCAGGAGGATCCCGTGGGCCTGATGGAGGTTTTGCTCCAGCTGTTGCTGCAGCGTTCCAGCTCCTCCAGTTGCCTTTTCACTGCCCCTGGGTTCTTGCAGAAGTCACAGCACTTGTTGCAAGGTGGGGTGGCGTCGCCAAAGTACTTTGCGATGGCAGCGTGGCGACAGCTTGGAAACACAAGGCAAAATCATCTGGTCATCACTTCCATCCTCAAAAACTCCACCCTCCAAATGCAGGAGGTGTCTTTAGATAAAGATTTTGAGCCTGTTTTTCACAGAGAATGTCTATTCCAGCAGGAATCACAGGGTTTAATACCCGGAGCAGAATTCGGGCTCTGTTCCTGGCACCTGCTTAAAGTCTCTCTGCCTTCACTTTCCCATATGTAAAAAACCATCAATGTTCATCTCTTCTGCTAAACCCTATCAGGTCTTTGAGACCTGCAAAAGGAGCAGCTGATGAAATACACAGTTATTAATTCTGTATCACTGGCTAAATATATTCCACATCCTGTCAGCATGGCTGTAGGTAAAGAGGCCTCATTGATCACTACACCTCAGAGAACATCTCACATTGAAGAACATCTCACATTAAAGCTTCTAGGTTTATTATTCATGATTTGAAGCTGAAGAAATAAATATTTGAAGACACAGGAATGTAAAGAAAATCCCAGGAATAGAGTCCAAAGTGAGGTCACAAGGGTGTACCATTCAGATAACACAGCCTGGATCTTGATGGGCTCACACAGATCAGCACCAAAGTTTGGGTAGAGTCCTACAAGCATGAAAACCAGCTCATTTGCTCACACAGGATTGCACAACCAGTTTACCAGGATTAGCAAACCAGCCATGAGAAGATTACGAGATTTTTCCAGAAATTTTCAAAATATTTTTGGCAGGCATCAGTGTTTTGGGGTACATTAAAAAGACTTTGGTGACAATATGCTCACCAGCAATACCGGCAGGAAATAATTTCTCATCTAAAACACTCCCTAACTTAAACCAGGGAACACACTGATTTTGCCAAAAAAAATGATCAGGCAGTTACTTCCCCCCCCCCCCCCCCCTTTTTTTTAAGAAAGCAGAATTTAGAGGACCTTTTTAAAACTAAAGTTTCTCAGCAGAGGTGGCTGGTTGTGTGTTAGTCAAAAAGCTGATAATAAATATAGGAAAACATTCACTTAATTGGGCATTTAGAGATCAAATCTGGCAGCCAAAGGGGAACAAAAGTTATTTTAGGAGAAAATTATTTTACTACAAAGAAGAACAAAGTGGAAATTTTTATTCTACACCAAGGTGTGCCCTCGTGGGCTTCCTAACTTCATCTGCAAAAAGTGGGTCACAGAAGGGAAAAGTAAGAGAGCAAGCACCTCATTTACTCTTATTCTAAACCCTCTAAGGCATGTCAGAACTTGCCAGAGATCTAACAAACACAGTTTTCTTCTCCACTTGTGTCTGTGTGTGTCTGGAGGGAACACAACTGCATGTTGTGAACCAAACAACTGCATGATGAACCAAAGCATCACAAACAAACCCCGGAGGGGCTGCAGGGGCTGCTGGCTCACTCCTTCCCACGGCCTGGGAGGTGGATCTGGAAGCAGCACAGCAGCAGGGCCCGGGCTGCTGTCCCCAGCAGTGCCCTGAGTGTGCTGAAGGGGCAGGGAGCTGGCAGCGCTCAGGTGAGGGGCTGCAGCAGGGTGTCTGCAGGGCACCAGGGCCTGGAGAGGCTCTGACAAAGCTGCCATTATATCCCCCTGCAGGGCCACACTGACTCACTCTGCTCCTGCACTCAAAGAGCTCCTTTCACACGGAGGGCAAGGCTGGGGGACCCAGATGGGGGCAACACATTCGATACCCTTGTCCTGCCTCTCCAAAAGAGCCACTGGTGCTGCCTGGCTTGCCAGTGCAACGTGACTATAGAAATGTCAGCGAGCTGCAAGTCAGCTTTTTGTTTCCCCCAAAGAAAACAGGCAGCATTCTCATCAGTCCCTGTCTCTCCCCCTCGCACACACTGATCTGTATTAGAGTTAACTGAGGCATTCAGTGAGGGACAAGCCCTCTCCCCATTCCCACAGCTCACCAGGCTCATGCTGGGGAGGGACAGCCACACACACCTCTGTCCTTTAGATGCCCCAGGGGAGGGCTTTGGTGGAAGCAGAGATCAGCTGTGAGCTCACTGGAATTTAGAGTTCCAGTTTCTAACCCATCAGGCTTGTAAAGCCAAGCCCTTCCCACCCAGCCTACTGTAATTGCCTTTTTCTTCCTGAAGAATTACCCAGACTGGGGCCACAGCCCCCCTTTAGCCAACGGCGTTCAGGAGTTGGGCCATAACGGAAATTCAGTTGCAAAACTAAAATTGCAATCCTATAATTAAGGTCAAAAGACAAAAAGGCAGTTACCAACAGGGATGCTGGGGTTAATCACTAGATTAATACTTAACACAAGAGTTCCTGAAAGACAGTTGGTTATGCATTAACATGTGAGGGGAAAGCTTCCTCTGTCACACCAACACTTGACTAATGCCCACGAGATGGAGATGATTTACATAAATTAATGGTAGTTTGTATTATTATACATGTTCTAAAATTACTGCATCTTTAAAATATGCCACTGTATTATTTGTCTCCCTTTGCCCTTCAAAAGAGTACGTATGAGCTGACCATTGGTCTCTAAAATGTCTAAACAAAATCATTATGTCATTTCAGACATTCCCTCCCCCCTCATCTGACATTATGGAATGGGATGAAGAGCAAATAACAAAGAGGTTTATTAACACATTTTTGTCTGTGGCAATGCATTTGAGGAAAGTACTAAACTGACCACAAAGCTGCCTGCACTTGTGTAGCTTTGGTAGGTCTTGTTTTTATACACCACAGAAAATAGGAGTGCTATTCCTGCAATTAGGAGAAGCAGATGGACAGCCAGAGAAGAAGCAAAGTCACATATCCCAAACGAAGCTCTGTCTCTCCCAAAAAACACCAGAAAAAAGCATTCCCTTGTATAAGCCAGAGGGTACAGAGCCTCATCAACAATGCTCCCTGAATTAAACAACTCAGCAAGTCTTGGAATAATGTGAAGTGAGAGGGTTAAAAAAGATAAAAATCACATGAGGGCAAATTAGTTATGCAGTTGTCAAGCGAAAGACATTTAATGAGCTTTATCAAATAGAAGAGCAAGTCATGAGGCTGATGAGAACTTCTAATTTTGCACCTGTCTGAAGGACTGTGTCCTTTCATCATCACCCGAGCTTCACCCTCTGAGACAAGACAGTGCCAGTCAGCTGTCCCCAGAACACAAGAAGCGAAAAGCTCAGCATCAAGAGAGTAAATGCCTTGGCCAAGAGCACGGAGGGAATTCACCATCCCGGCATCAAATTCACTGCCCCAGCACTGTCCCTGCTGCCCTGCCCGCGGCAGGTCCCTCACAGAGCTGCTCTGTCCTTGTGAGCACCGGCTCTGCCCTTCCAATGAGCACAGGAGAAAAGCTCCTTCTCCTGGGAGCCGCAAGGAAACCGGGCAGCACAAAGAAAAGTTACTCTCTTTAACATCGCCCCAAACTATCGCAGCCAGGGAATCCATTCAAGTCTCACGGCAGAAAAAGGCGTCATTAAAAGGTAAAGAAGGAACTCCTCTCTCGGAGGAGATGCACAGAGGAAGCCGGCAACAAGTGCCGGCCCTCGCGCGCCCCGGGGAGCTGGCACCGGCTCTGGCTCAGCCTGCGCTGCCTCCTCTCCCTCCCTCTTTGGCACACATGTAACACGAAACTTCGCATCTCCACGACAACCAGCAACAAAAAAAAAAAAAAAAAAAAAAAGAAAGAAAGGCAGAGACAACAGCTGGCTGTCAGCAGCGGAGCAGAGAGGAGCCCAGCGAGCAGCGAGCCGCAGGATGAGGGGAGAGATGACGTGAAAAGTTTAAGACGACGAAAGAAAAACAAGAGGAGAAGCAGAGCTGGCGGTCGGGGTAAGGCTATCGCTGCTGTTCGGTGAAGCGCGGAGGGGCTGGAGCCGGGGGAGCTGTCCCGGCTCGGTCAGCCATGGAGCACAGCTTGGGAGGCGGAATTTGCTCGCCAGGGACACCGAGCAGCGAAGGTGGCAGGAGAAAAGCTTTTAATGGGATTGCGGAGAGCTGCGCCGCAGCCGCCCTCTAACAAAAGGAGCTCCGAGCCCGACTCCGCAACTCCTCTGCCGTGACAAAGGCAGGCTGCTCGGGTTTCTGTGCTCGTACAGAACCAATGTCCCGATAAACTGGTGACCTGATCCAGGAATAGTCGGTGTGGACAAGGCGGCTGGGTCCGAGCTGTGCCGTAGCGGGGAGCACAGGCAGGCGCGGACGGACCCCAGCCACGGCTTCCCCGCAGCTCCTCCCAGCTGCAGCCAAGTTTTAGCCCCCAAATCCTGATGCAGAGAGCTTAGAAAACAAACCCCGGTCGGGGAACTAGCACGCTGTGCAAGTTAAGCATCTGTGTCCAATAGAAATAAACGGAAAGACTTTACAGAGCTGCTAATGAGAACATTTAAAAAAGAAGAAGAATTCAGCCAGTGTACCAGGCACAGATGCTGGTTTAGTGCTCAAAGCAGCAGGAGAAGCGCTGCTCTGAGAGGCACGTTCATGCACATACACAGCTCAGGGCTTACAGAAACCACACCGTCAAGTTTGAATGTAGTGAGAAGGGAAGGAAGAGTAAAAGGATCACCTAAATCCATTAAATTTTACAACATAGAATCATTTAGGTTGAAAAAGACATTTTAGGCCATTGTGTCCAAGCTTTGGTTTTACAGAGGTGTCCCACCTGTGCTCCCATCTTTGTTTTGCTGTTGGGTATGGAAAGAGGGGCTGGTAATGGAGACTGGCCTTGTAAATCCCCACTTTCTGCTATCTGAAGCTGACTTGTCTGTTTGGAAGCTGCTGCAGCTCCCAGCGCTGAGCTGGGACCCCTCAGCCTCTGCCAGGAGGTGCAGGGGCAGTCAGCTGTTTACAAACTGGAGCAGAAAGCCAATTCTCACACAAAAAGGTCTTCCCAATCCTACACATGCCTGTAGGGAGGAATGTTAAGGATCAGGTATTTCCACTTCTCTCCATTTCCATTAACGAGGAATGGAGGGCAGGTCTTTCTGACCCAGTGTTGTACAAACATGGAATTGGAACTGCCCGAGTGAGGAGAGGTAGCAGCTCAGACCCACACGCCTCCAGCCTGGCCCTAAGGCTCAGGGGGATGGAGGGAAGTTTCCACCCTGCTAATGGAGAGTCTCTGTAGGTTGCTTGTTGCAGTTAAGAGAGGTTCTTAAATAAAGCATGTGAAAAAACAAAGTTTAGCGAAACAACAAAGAAAAAAAATCAGGAGGGAGGAGTGAGAGGAGAAGGGCAGGGGAGGGAAGGAGGTGGAGAAACATGCCAAGAAAATCTTAATGGGTTTGGCTGGGGGCTTGTCCAGCTGCAGCCATGCTGTTGATGTGTGGGGGGAGAGGCACAGCAATGTGAAACACATGTCTGGATAAAAACAGCAGGACATGGCTTGTGTTACAGCTGTCACAGTGCACGGGCCTCAGCCTGACTGCAACCAACAGCGGGTGTGGGAATGAAGGTACAAAATAATCCCAGTTTGACAGAGTGGAGACAAGCCCTGAGCACAGAGCCTGCTGTGGGCCAGCAGGGACTGTGAGGGGCTGGGGGCAGCACCCACCCCCAGCTCCATGCAGGTTCTGCCCATGCAGTCACAGCTGAAGAGCCTCCTAACAATTCCTCCTGAGCAGCAGCTGCTGCGGATTTTGATTTTAGAGCTCCTACACCCCAATAGCACCTTTACTAGGATTAGTCCAGGACATTTCAAAAAGCTCAAAAATGTAATTTAGGAGACTTGTAGATGTGAGATCAAGGACAGGGCACAGAAGTGGCTGTTACAAGGTGGAGGAGTTTCCAGCACTCTCAGGACCTCAAGCACCAACTACTGATAGTAGATCCCACTGTGTTTGTGAAGTCACTAAAAGGCTTTCACAGGCACACAGCTACCTCTCAGCCAGCTTCCTGGGAAATGGATATTTTGCTAATATTAGAATAGACTTTCAGGCTAGATTCAAGCATCACCAACCCTAAAAAAAGTTCTCTTGTAGAAGAGCTACAGGTTTATTTTTAAAATTGACCTTTTCCTTTCATTGGATGGCTCAGTGTTTTGTTTTCCCCACTTAAAAAATTTCTAGTAGTGAGAAATTATCTCATGAGGTTTTGTGGATGTGTTTGTGGGATGGACTGGAGAAAACCAGGGTGATCAGCAGAGGTGTAAAGACTCCCAGCTCAGTGTCCCAGTGGGCACCTCTGCTACTGAAACTGGGAATTCAGTGCCTTTTTACATTAATCTAATATTAGGTTGTAGGGAAGAGAAGGCACATTTACAGTGCTGCCTCAAAACCCATCTCCAAATAGTGAGTGGTGGAGATGACAGGGTATTCCAGCCAAAGGGTGACCCAGGCAGGGCAGCTTTAAAATCTCAGGAATGTGTGGCCTTCTGCTCCAAACCAGCTGACAAAGTCCCAGCTTTTCTCCCGTGGCATTGAGCTACAATTTACCAGTTTGGGTGTGTGCTGTTCAAGGGCTGAATTCTCTTGATACTGGAAACTATTTTCATCTGTTTGGGAATGAATTATAGGTCTGTCTGGCTCTGTGCACTCCTGTTTTAAGAAAAAATGGGTTTGTCTGAACTATAGTTAAGATTCACATGGCTGGTCAAGTACAGTCATGGCAGCAAACACTGCATTAACAATGATGAGAGACTGATAATACAACTGCATTTCTATGGCCCTTTTCATCTCAGCAGTACACTAAAAGCTTAGAACAATAAACAATCATGCAGGAGTTATGACATGTTACACCAAAATGCATCCACTGTAGGCACACCTAGAAACCCAGCATTGTTTGAGAACAGGAAGCACTGCAGACCTTATCCATATAAAATCAGGACATTTCAGGGACCAAGAACAAAGCTGGTGCATTTTGAAACTGGCCAAGCCTTCATTTTCTTTAAGAAGTGGCCAAGTACAGTCAGAGGTTATTTTAGAGTTTCAGACCAGAATAAAAAGCATCCCCTCCCCTTTGGCTGCTCAGCACCCTCCTTCCCTGAGGTTGGGCTTGCCTTGTAAGATTTCCAACCAGATAAGCCTCCACAATCCATACAGGCTTCCCATCCCTGTACAGGTCCAATTTCAACCAATTTATTGGACTAGTCTGAGTAAGAACAGCACAACATTTGCTTATTCAAAGCCCCAGTCTTAAGGAAAAGCCAAGGTTGCAATGAGAATGTTGCTCTGGCATTCCACTTGATGGGAACATCAGGAAGGTTCTGCTTGGTAAGGTCTCTGGAGCCATCCTGCTGTGGGAGGAGAGCCAACTCACCATCACTGGGACTTGCTGCATTGGGACTAGAGGCATTGGCAGCTTCTTGTTCCCCCCATAATTCCCCCTTCCAAAGCTTTATCTCCACCTGTAGCTTACTAAAGCAATAAACCCATGCAAGCACAGTAAAACCAATGGATCAGGATTATGGCAAGAATAATATGAGGAGCAAACAAGAGTGGAAAGCACACTTTCATCTACATCCATCCTCAAGAGGCTCAGTGAACAAAGTGTTCAAAGTACTGAGCAAAACAATGGCCAGCTCAGTTTGTAACTGCAGCAAAACCAGGGACTTGCTGCCTTTCTATCTAAAGATTTCCAAGCATGCTGGAAACTTGGACACACAACAATTGACAAACAGAGCTCTGATGTGGTTCCATGTTCTGCTGTCTTGCAGAGATGAAGTCACCCAGCAGTGGGATGTGATGTCTTACCCAAAGTCACAACCAGGGAGCATCACTGGCAGGCCAGGGACACTGCCTGTATTTACTAACTTCCAGTCCTGGGGCTAAACCACAAACTTAAATTTGTGCTTTTTGCACTAAAAAAGGCTGCTCAAATAGCCCCAGGGCTATGTGTAAACAAGTGTCTCATTCTCAGCAGCAAATTTCAGCTCACCCACTCCCTACAGTTCACCTGTGGATGCAGCTGTGTCCACACACAGATCAACACAGACCAAAAACCCCAAATGTACAGCAAAAATGCAAAACCAAAATGTACAGCAATTCCAAAAGACTCATAGCAGCCTCACCAGCTTCAGGCAGACACAGGGATGTGAGACCTCACTGTACATGGTCATCTCAAAGCTTTTTTCTTGGAAAAAGAAGCCTCCATATGCAGCCAGTTCACATAGAAAGAACCCTTGATGGAGGCTTTTCTCTTGAATGTCTAGATTGAGGCTTTTTAATGGCTTTATTCTCCAAGGCACTGAGCAGGCAACTTCTTTGAGTGCTTCAGCATGGCATGAGTCCATTAAAACAACTGAGAAAGATAATTTCAGTGCTATTATGGCAATTTTCACAGCTTTCTTCAGTGGGCACAGCAAGATGAATCTGCATTAGTGCTTTCTGGGAATGTAAACCTATGTAAGTCCTAAACACAGGACATGCACTTGGGGTTTCCAGGGTCATGTAATCCTTGCAGCTGAGCAGCACACCTGCAGCTGTTTGCCATTCCCCTGCATCATTTCTGTGCTCTGTCCTTTCAACCAAGGCTAATAACTCGAGGCACATGGCAGAAGGGGCCTTTTTTTTTTTTATCAAAACCAAATAAACCCAAATTAAATGATTTGTGCTATTCCCTCCCCCTGCTGGGCCTTGCAACATTAGAGGAGGGCAGAAAAGTTTGATGATCTAGTTCCACTGGCATCACTGATTGGATGAGTTATTTCTTAAGTCAAAACCATGAACTTCAGGCTGTCACCCCATCCCAGCAGGATGTCACAAATGTCTTGCCCGTGACAAGACCTTGTATTACTTTCTTTTCTGTGTGAGATTCTTATCTTGCCTCTCTTCATCTGATTTTCACTTCATGTGAGCTCCAACTACAGCTGTGGAGCAGAATTTCCTGACATCAGTCTGACAGTGTGTTATGAAGACCACATTGCAGTGTGGTCATTCAGGATTTTTTCCATGATATGAATGAGTTACATCAGCTCTGCTGCCCTACAGCCAAGTCTCCTCTGCTCTGGAGGGTTCCCATCCTCAGTGGGGCAAGTTTTGAGGAGGGACAGTGATGAGCAAGAAGAAATTCTCAATTGAGGAAAACACTGGCAGACAATTATATTTTCTCCAAACTCCTGAGAATCTCTGAGGTTCTAACTTGAGTGGCTCTTCCAGCCTCTGAAACAGCACTCCTGGCCTAGAAAGTAAACTGGCAGGTAAGGCCCACAACCTTAAGTTTCAAACCTCTTAAGACTTCCCTGTTTTAACAATAATCATCAGAGTTACTGCTTCAACTGAATATCCTGCACCACCTGGCCTTTACTACTGTTGGTGACTGGAAGCTTATTTGAACACAATATAATAAAACAAAAGGAATTAATTCTCACAGCTCCACTCTGTTATTGTAATGTCATCACCTTTGTGTTGTAAATGAGGCAGATGCATAAGACAGCTGATTTAAATCACACTATCCTCACCCTTGTGCTAATCTCAAGGGTAAAATCTTGGTTCCACTGAAATCAATTGGGAAAAGGTCCCATCAAAACTAGTCCTGAAGAAAGACTTTACATCACAAGTAGAATGGAACATACAAAAGTCCATTAATGTAACTGTCTTTCTTGGAGGAGTTTTACTTTTTTCCTTTAAGAATTATTTTATTCTTCACCCTTTTACCTTGCTGCAGAAGCAGAAATCCCAAAGCAGAGAGTCCTTGAAGCAGCAGAAAGTGCAATCAGAAAAACATTTGCTTCCTCATGAGTAGGTTGGAGACTGCACCACCACCATCAAACTTTGTCCCTGATGAAATTCAGACCAAGGTAAACAAGCAACATTCCTTGCAAGTTTTAGAATAAAAACTCCTTCACTCAGCTCCAGATCAGGTACCAAGGGCAGAGTGGAATGTCCATTACAGAGACAGGCCTCATTATTTTTGACTAAGCACTCTGCTAATCCACATGCAGTTCTACAATCAGTAGAACTCAGTAATTTTACCCTGTATAACCAAATTTCAAAGCCTGGCTCTTATACCTGTTGCTTCTGGTGCAACCCAAAGCATGGCATGGAAGTTCACAGCAAATTCATTATGAGGAGAACTTCTGGACAGGCAGAAGCACCTCCAAAGGGAACAAACATTTTCACAATGTTAAAGCCAGAAATTTTATTTTTTGATTTTTTTTTTCTTCTAGAGCCAAGAACAGGAAGCACAAATCATTTCACCTCTGCCTCATCCACCATGTCTTAGAATGGAATCAAAATTGAAAACCTGTTGACACAGAATCCTGCAGCACTAAGGATAAAGCAGCTGTTTCTGGAGAAGCTCACTTGGGGTATGCAATCATCTGGAAAGAAGTATTTAACCCTAGTCCCAAAAGGTGACCTTTTCAGGTCAAAAGCCCACAGCTCTGCCTCCTTCCTGAATTGTAGTGATCTTTGTGTAGATGAGGATTTTCCATCCACCCCCATTTCTAAGAAACCAGCTGGTTCCGATTTTTATTCCTTAGCTTGGATTTAAAAGAACAAAGAAAGCCCTTTTTGAATTGCATAAACATACAAAACTAATTTAACTTGGCACTGTAGTACTTAAGCCCAGCATGCAAAGAAACAGCCAAGGTCTCTCTGTCCTCAGTGTGTTTAGAAAAACTGAACTCCAAGCATCCATTTGTTTGAGTAACCAAGCCAGATGTTCAATAAGGAACTAGCTGGTTTGTTCTGGAAATGTTGTCTTGGTCACTTGGCTTTGTGTTATCACCAAGATCAGGATATTAAATTGCAATGTTCAAGTCCCAAACCCTAGTGTTGCCTGTTACAACACACACAAACCAGTACATTTTGATATTGTAATGAAATAAGAGTTATAACCCATTCAAGTGTTGACTGTCTAAACACTTGTTTTAGGTGGAACTATGGATAGTTCTCAAAAATATCCAATTCCAGTTCCTGACTGAAGCAAAATTTGAAGATCCATAGGTCTCATGCCAGCTAGTTTGTTGCAATGCCTCCTAAAATCCTGTTCATGGGGTATAAGAACAGCAAATATTGGTGACAAAACTGAGGCATTTAACTTTAACTAGACTAATAATATTTTCAGTAACAAGAGCTCCTGATGATCACTCTGGGAATAAAGAAGGCCTAAGATCACTGAGCAGGGCAGGAGGGATTAGCTCCACAGGGGAGAGATCTCCCTGACAGATCCAGGGGCTTTTGCTTTGCTCATCATCAGCAGTGATGGGTGGAACCCACTGTTCAATTCATATATTGCTCTGTGGCTTAAAATAAAAAAAACCCTAAATTTAGCTTTCTTTATAAAACTGCATTCATCTGTAAGAACTTGAAAAGCATCCAGCTGTCTCTAGTGAATGCAGACTTTAACTTTTAGTATCACATACAGTAAAACTGGTTAATAAAAGATTATTAATACTATTGTATTGAGGTGTTGAGGTAAATGCCTTTTTTAAGGTATTTTGAGGTAAATCCCCCTTTTTTTGAAGGGGGGTTCTGTAGCTCAAAGTGTAAGAAGCCTTCAAGGGAGTCTACTTTGTGTTTTTCAGTAACAAACACTGAAGACTATGTACAGTGGAGTTCAGCATTCAAACTGGATTAGAAGTGCATTTGTTTCTGGAAGGACAAGTTAGCACAACTGGAAAAAAAAAGTGCTTTGGCTGGGTGAGAGCCAAGGGCAGGCACTGTCCAGTCTAACTCAGTGCCTGCTGGGAGAAGTGTCCTTGTAGAAGAAACACCATTTGGACTCTGCTTAACAGTAGTTGACAAAAACACTCTTGCAGCTGGATTTTGAAATTAAAACAGTGCCAGGACACGTAGACAATTAATAGTCCTCCACCTTAGCTACTGGGAACAAGGACTGAGACCAGATAAACTTGTTTTCCTTGTGATCACTGGCTGTATAAGAAGGCTGGCAGCTCCCTAGCATTAGTCAGTGAAAAAGTTTATTCTCTGTTTGGTTCTCCTGCAGCATAAAGCCTGGAGAGGTTGTGACAGAATGTCTTCTGAAAGCTTTCTGAAGGAAGTTCAAGCCATTGGTGAGAAGTTTCTCCTCAAGCTCCAGAAACTGCCCAAGGCTGAGCCAGTGGAGATTGTCAGCTTTTCTGTGGTTCTTCTATTTATTGGTGAGTTTGTGGGTGGAGGCTAAGGGGTGTCAGAATTTCTCTCCTCTCCTATGGGGGCAACTTGCTCCACAGGCTGTGTAGGAGGGTTGGTGGTGTTGGCTGTTGTTTTCTAGGCTGTGCTCTAAGGCCCAGGTTAATTCCTAGGTAATTTTTAACATTCAGTGTGTACCTCTACATGATTGCAGAGCATGACAGGAAACAGCACAGCTTTCCCCAAAGCTCCCTTTTCAAACATTAGTTAAATCAGCAATATTTTAACCAACCCAGAGCTGCTGTAATGTTTTGATGCATAGGAGATAGTTTATGACAAATGGTCCTAGAGCATCTCCCTGCCACAGAAGACACTTAAGAGGGGCTCTGAGTGTCATTCTTGTATTGGCTCAGTGAATTCAGATGAGTCCATTTATTCTTCTCTGGTAATGGCAAAATCCCTCCTGCTGCTCTGTGTGGGGATGGCATGGAAGGAGTAGCAACTGGATCAAGAACTGTTGGGTCAAGGAGGATGAAATTTGTTTATACAATGGGAAAATAAGCAGGAAGGAAGACAGGCCCTGCTCCTGGCCAAAAGGAAGGGTGTGTATTCAGCTGGACACTCCTCCCTGGGCTGGAATTCACAATGTCACACCTGCTGCTTTATTTGGTTCATCCCTACAGCTGGTTCCCCACAGGTCAGGTTACCTGGCAGCCCAGGTCCAGGCTTTAAAGGAACACAGGCACACACAGAGGCATGCTCACATTCTTACATGTTCTGCAGGATGGAACATGTCATCCTTTTCTACTCCAGATAAACTAACACAACCCTGCCAACACCTCCCATCCTGGCTAGAGTAGAGGACAGTCAGTTAGCCCACTGTTCTCTGAAATTAACCCCTGCATTTGAAGTATCTTATTTTTTCAAGTTAAATACAGAAGAGTAAAGCCAACCCAGTCATGAGTCTCTATGCTTAAAGAGTGTGCTGAACTCACTCTTCAGAAATACAACTGCCAGTTTGAGTAATCAAACTCCCTCAAGTCTGGTTACTCAAAAATCCAAAGCTGGATTTTCATCCTTTCCAGGCACATGGGCTGTGCTTAGGTACTGCATGTCAGCTCCCAAACAACAGCCCATTAAGTGGGTAAAGAAACCCTCACACGGTTTGGAATGCAGCTCTTAAGGCCTTGAAATGCCTGGTAATGATTGTCCAGATTAAATGGAAAACCAATACAAAGGAACAGGAACTTAGGAGGAGGAAGATGGGGATATAGGGCAAAAAAAGAATTCTCAAGAAACCAGGCTTTGCTCATTTTGCTGCTCACCAAACAACGTGGAGGAGACATAGGGTTACTCTGCAGTAGGAGGAGGAGACATAGGGTTACTCTGATTGTTCCTGTGCTGTGAAGCAAAGTCATTTGTTTCTCTCTGCAGTTACTGTGCTGGTGCTCACGGTCATTGCCTGCAGTTGCTGCTGCTGTGGCTGCGATGGACGCCCTGAGCCCAGACGCAAGAGCCAAGTCAGCCCAGCTGCCCATTCCTGAAGTGACACCCCCTGCTATGCAGGACACACATGGACATCAGGATCAGTGCTATGGGAATGGCTTTCCACACTAGCCCACAGAAAATGGCAATAACAAGATTAATGAACACGACTCAAAGGACCAGAAATCACAGCATGGAGTTCCTTCTCCCTGTGACAGCCACTACTGTGACAAGGAAGGTAAAGCTCCTTCACCATCACTGTGTCCCTCTTCTGGGCTGGGATGGGGTGGGAGGACATGGACACAGATTGCTGAGAAAAGAGAGAGCTTTCCCAAAGACTGCCCTGCAGCTGGGCCAGCTGAGGATCCCCCCATGGACACGGAGCCAGGGAGCAAAGCAGAGGCCACGCACACAGCCACACACGGGGCACTGCCTGCTCTCCTCACCACAAGGATGGTACTGGGCATTAGCAAAACCCACTGACACCACTGGGAGGTCCAATTGCTCAGGTCATCGTGGATCAAGGCCAAACTTGCTCCAGGAGACACGTTTAGCTGAGGTATCTGCTGGAAGGAACAAATGGTGGACCCTCTCATCCAGATGTGCCAGCTGAGGCTCTGAGTACAGCTGGTGTCATTTCATTGGTGATGTGATGATGGGAAATTGCCAAAGAAGAAAACACATCATGTGGAATGCTCTTTGTAAATAGAAAGATGATGGCAAAAGGGAAAAATTCACCAATCCTATGGCTTATTTTGATCATTCTCTGTTCAACATGCTCCCTCTCCACCCCCTGTGGTTCCTATTCCTCTGCTTATTGCAGATGAATGGCTCTTGCAGAGCATGGGAGCTCCAGGAGATGAACAAATCCCAATCCTTACTTGAGGGATCTCTGTGCCTGACTCTCTGCACTGTGTGCAGTTTATTTTAGTAGCCATGAACATGATGCCAAGGGTGTGTTTATGAGCAAGCACAGAGGCATTTCAGAGGAGTGACACATGATGGGAGCCATCACTTCAGGGTATGTGCACAGCAGCTGACAGCGGGCGCTGTGACAGAGCAGAGCCCAGAATGGGCTGCTGGGCTGGAGTTAACAAGTGCAGATAAATCCCTCTTCCATGCTGCAGCCACTGTGCATGTTTGGTTTACACTCCGGTGAACTTCCGAAAGGGATTTACCGACACACAAGGCTGTGGCACAGGCCACCCCTTCCACAACTGGCACAGCACAAGAAGGCCACAATTCTGCACTAAACTCTGAACCACTGGTGTCTCAGCACCAAATGGGAGACCAGCCATCTTTGTGAGAAGGTATAAACAATTACATGAATATAGAGAAGTCATCTTTTTTGCCTCTGTATCCCAACTAAGTGTATGTACCAAAGCCAACGTCTAGCTAGGGAGAACAGAATCATCAAGGTTTTAACAGTGGGCTTTAAAATACTCTTTACACTTCAGGAGTTACAGAAAAATAAAGAAGTCTCTGTATAGAAATGTATTTTCTGTGTTGCCTGCAGCCATATTAGTAAAAGGCACATTACTTCAGCTTCTTATGTATTTAATGCACTTTATTTTTTGCCAACAAACCGGATCTAGGTATTTGGTATTTTTGTACTGCTGCACATTGGAATACATCTGCAGCCAGAGACATAGTCTAAGAATTATAAAAAAAATAAAATTCCTAAAACTACCAGTGTTACTTTTAAATTAATAAAAAGAAAAACCCTCCAGTGGAAAATGAGGATGTTCTTTAGAAATAAATATCTGAGACTCAGCATGACAACCGCCCAGAGCAGACTGCACTAGCATGAGTTACTGCATGCACAGTTACACTGAGACAACAAAGTATAAAAAAAAAAAAGAAAAAAAATTATTAGGCTGTCCCAAAGCTTTCACTGCCAACCAACATGTTAGGGGGAAACAATCTCAAGCATGGCATCAATTTAAACATTCAGAGGTGCCTCACACCAACCTCCTGTCACATAAGTCCTTGCTCATTTCACTCACAAATGAGTGGCAAAGTGACATCGGGAGCCTCAGAATCTCTTTTGCAGAAACAGACTCAACAGATGTTTTTGTATCTAGATTAAGTCACGAGACCCAGGGAAGAACAGAGCTCACTTTCTCTCCAGGCTTGTGCTAGACAGTGCCAGCTGCAGACATTAACAGCATCCCATTGAGGGCTGTTCCAGCAGCACAGAGCCAGCCTGTGCAAAGACAGAGGGAAGCTTGGCAAGCTGGACACACACCAAGGGCTGACAGGTTGCTGTCACTGGGAACAAGCTGCCAGGCCTTATCTCAACAGGAAAAGCCACAAATGCATGTTTCCCAGTGGTGGTACAAGTTAAACCACTGACAGATACCAGGCAGAGGAACGAGAGAAATGGCTCCTGTCTTATCTCAGCCACTGCAAGTTCCTGAATTAGAAACAGAATAAACACAGCAGTGTTAAAAAAAAAAAGGGAAGGAAAGAAAAACAGGCTCCTCTAAAGGATTCAGGTGGCTTTCTGGAGCAGAGGACCAGCTACCATGTAGAGGGGGTCAGTTTCTACACACTTGTTTGGACTTCACAGGCCTGATGTTCTGTTTTGTACCACTGCACTCAGCTGAACTATTCCTACAGCTGGACTCAGACATGCCATGCTTGATCTGCTGCTTTCTTGCATGCATTCAGGGTAGCCTGAAAGATGCCAGCAAGTGCCCAGCTTCCTGCAGCTCTTCAGCTTCTGCTGACTACAAACCTGCTGGTCCCTGGGTCCCTGCTCAGCACTCACACAAACTTTTGTGTTTTGGCTTTGATCAGTACTGAAATACAGACACCTACAGGGAGCAGCAGTGAGGATGGATTCTCTTGTTTCAACCTGCAGAGGGAAATTCAGAAAAGCACAGAATAAGGCAAGGCTGCTTCTAACACAGCAACTGCCATTCATATTGTAAAAGCCTAGGAGGAACTGCATTGGAATACATTACTTCAGTTGTGAAGATAAAAAGTGTTGAAATTGTTTCTTTCCCTGAGGAACCTCAAAGAGCCAGCAAGGCCAACCCCTCCAGCAGAAGTGGTTGAAGTTCTACTAATGACTTAATGGAATAGCTTCTGTTCTGTAACATTATCCCTCTGGTTTGCTTGGCTTGTGAAAAATAAGTTTCCTTTTACACAGGGAGTGTAAAAGTAAGTTTCCTTATTTTTCACAGGCTTGTGAAAAATAAGTTTCCTTTTACATACAGGCAGTGTCACACACCACACTCCTCCTTCTGCCCTCCCTTCTCTCTCCAGCACCATCCCTCTGTCCTTCTCCAGTCAGGAAAGTGATAGAGAGTTTTATTGCAGCTCACCTCAGTGCAATGCTCTGGAATGGGTTTATTCACCTGAACTGTCACAGTGAATTTTGGACTGCAGGGCAATCCTGTTCAGTCTCACTCCAGTCTCCTACTGGAGCTTGCAACACAGGTCCAGCTGGGATCCAGGAAACACAGCCCTCTTCTCTCCACCACATCCTGCAGCCTGCCCCAGACAGAGGACACAGTGGGCCTTTACAAGCCCTGCCAGAGCTGTACGAGTGGATAAAGCCATGAAGAGGAAGAAATGTCTGAGGAACAGCTGAAATAGGACTTCTAAGTTGGGTTCAAGGCCTTTCATTTGATTAGATTAGCCACACCTTTGCAGGAATTAATCAGCTGTTAATCATTTACTTCAGCCCAAAGAGGAAACTTCCAGGTTACCTCTACAAGTCTCCAGGTACAGCAAGGGGTCCCCTCACCACAGGCCAAGATCTCTTGGAGGAGTGAAGAGGAGGCAACAGAGGAAACACCTACTACAAACCACTACAGCTTCAGGTATTTATAAAATGTCATACAGCTCTCCTTTCTGGGAGGTGAACTGCACTTAGCACAAGAGACAGGAACTTCCTGGGGGATGCAGTCCCACGGGATTTCTGCCTTTGGGTCTAAGGAACTTATATCTAGGCTGCCTCATTCTTGAAGGCAAAGGAACACAGAACAGCTTTGATGTCCTGTGTGCTGGTTGGTTAAAGGCTGAGCACAGTGATCTGCCATCTACCCAGAAAACAAACCATTAACTGAATAAATCTGGCTGTTGAGAAAGAAACAAAAAACTTCAGCAAGTGTGAGTTTGTGCTTCAACTCAAATCCAGCCTGCTGAGGATGAAACACTTTACAGAAGTAATTCTTCTTCTTAGAGTATGCAGGATACAGACATAAGAGGCAGCAAATCAAGCAAATTTTCAAAAATAACCTGTAGCTCTTCCTATATTGCATATGCATAATCACATTTGCAATAAAGTGTGAGAAATATTCCATCCTTTCCCTTGAGAAGCAGAGAAGCTTTAGTAAAACCACAAGATGCTCAGTAAGAGATGCTAAATGTTCTTTAGAAAGCTGACAGTGAAGTCATTATTCAAAGTATCAGTGAAAGAGCAAGTGAGTAGAACCCACTGGGATCCCAGTTTAAATTATTACTGGACCTCCTTGTGGGAGGAAAATTTATGCTTTTATTGCAGAGTAACAGAAACCATTACTAAAGCAAACCTCATTAGCAGGAGTTTAACATAAAATTAGGACACCCTTATTAACATATTTGGACTATTCTAAGCCCTATGGAAGAAACAAGTTGTACATGATCCTTGCTTATTATTGGTGGGGTTTTTTGCTTGATTTTTTTAAAGTAAGTGTTCCTTTAATCTCCATTGTGACCTCAGATTTTAAGCCCCCAACTCTCCCTTTTAGAGATCCCTGCAATGGTATCAAGGAATTTCTCCCACTGAATACTTGTTTTTCATGTATAGGCTGTTCAGCTGACACAGAGTTCATATTGCACATGCTGGAGAGACACTGTACTATTGAGAATATTGATAAGCTATGATTAAAATAAATCTCAACAGATTGCTGTAGAGCAAGCAGCTTTTCCTCTTTAAATCTCTGTAGATCTGATTGTTAAACCAGTCTCAGATGGATTTCTTCTGGTTTATGCTCCCATTTCTGTGAAGGGTGACCCTGCTTTTGGAGGGGGATGCCTGCAGGGACAGACACCATGCACACCTGCACTGGTTTTGGGGCTGAGGGCATGGAGAGAATACAAGACCTGACCCTGTTGTTGTCTGTCCCCAGCAGGGTGCAAGCCAGCATGTCACTAGAGCAAGAGGCATCCTCAGAGCTGCAAGACCTAAAGAGCCTGATTGCAACAAGTGGTTGGGCTCTTGGAGGGCTGGTGGTGATTGTCATCTTCTGCTCTGTTTTTATTGCTCTCATTTTGTTTGCTGCTATCTTTGGGTGCTGCACATCTCCAAGGCACAGACGGGGTGGCTCATAGACAGCAAAGTGGGGACACAGAACTCGGTACAGCTGAGCAAGAACCAGCCTGGGTACAATCTGATTGTGTTGTTCACAGAAAACTCTCACCTCACTCCCTGGGTGGTTATTTCTCTTCATGCAACTTCCCTGCATCAAGAACAATGTCCCAATGCCAGCAAGTTGTTCTGCAGGCCACAGCAAACTCACTACATGAGGCTGTCTGGATTCAGGAACTGCAACATTCAGCAAATACCAAAGTAAACTCGTCTCTGATTTTCATCTTTCAAGCAAAACCACCAGCTAGAGGTGGCAAATGGTCAGCCACCACCTAAATCTGATAAAGATGTGTTCTGCTGCTGCAGCTATGTGTGTTGGGGGCAGGGGCGGGGGGTTTAATCTGGCAAAAGGGCAGTAGGAAACTCCGGCCCTGAAAGCTTTGAACCCACTCTCTAAAAGCAGCTTAAACCATTGTTCTCCTGTCATACTCAGGCCTGAGTATGTATAGTAAATACACTATGCAAAAACTTACTTGCCAGTACACAGTCTGTCTTTATTTGTTCTTATTTATTACCTTGCAAGGTCACAGTTTGAGGTTTGCTTTCACTGTTTAGATAGTGAGTAGAACTGTATTAATTCAATATGTAAAAAAGAAATGCAACGTGGCTTTGCTTCCCACAGCACCTCAGTCACCTGCAGAGTTATGAGCAGGGAAGCCAGGCAGGGGTGCTGCACTATGTGACTCTGGGGTGCACACCCCATGATTTGCAGTTGGAAGAGTGGATTGAGCTGGGTAAGGGAAGAAAAGGTCTGGGAGGGGTGATTTCTGATTAAGTCAGTGATATTCCCTTACTCAGATTACTACTTTGAGGGTGGTGAGATATTGGGACAGGTTGCCCAGAGAAGTTCTGGATGCCCCATCCCTTGGAAGGCCAGGTAGGATGAGCCTTGGAGCAACCTGGCCTAAGGGAAAGTGTCCCTGCCCACGGCAGGAGGTTGAACTAGGTCATCTTAAAGGTCTCTTCCAACCCAAACCATTCTATGATTATACATAACCCAGCCACAACTGCCATCTGTGATCTGGGGCAGAGCTCCTCAGACAAATGGATCAAATTCTTAGGAAGTCTCCCAGCAGCTACTTCACAGCATCACCTTGACTTTGGACAAAGAAGTGCCCCTTTGAGTGCCCCAGGGCTCAGTGTTGTACCACACTTCAGTACAAACAAGACCATCCCATAAACTCAGGATTTGTTTGCCAAACATGACGAGAGGAGAACACTCTCACCAAGGCACCAGAAAAGCAGCATGTGTTACATTCATGCTGAAAAAGCTGTTCAAAACCCACATGTGAAAAATGAAACTAAATGAAGAACTTGTAAGCATGACACACAAAGATCATTTTCAGTTAGTGGACATACATTGCTCTCTTCTTGGCAAAATTACAGCTTTGATGTCTGACCCAGCATAGAACAGCAATTAGTACAATTACAGCATGCAGGGCATGAACTAAACCTGAACAAGGCATGTTGTGGTTGCTAATCTGCATTTAGATTGGGCACATCCACAATTTGAGCCTGCTTCTGAAACATTCTAAGCACCACCAGGTCGTTCTAAGGTCAGTGAGAATCACAAACACTTTGCAGAGTGGAAATGCTGAGATTTACAGAAACATTAAATCTGAATGCTTCCATCCCATGGCTCTCTGCCCCCTTAAGAGAAGAGTGATGTACTGAAGGAGGAGAGTCAAAACAAAAGCAAATGCAACAAAGTCAACCCATGATCAAAGATGGAATATTGTAAAATGTAGCACCAGAGAAGTTAAACATCCCCCTGACTTGGTCAGACTCCAAGACCAAGGTCTCAGTTAACTCAGAGGTGGGAGTGGTAAGAGATTTCTCAGGGACACATGCAGGATCTCAGCCATAACAGTTTCTTGGAAGAACAGGACATGTTCTCCCCAGCATTAACAGTGGTCTGTGAAAGAAATGCACTCACCCCAGCTCCTCACAGAAGTTCACAATGGCATCAAAAGCTGTCATCACAGCTTTGTCAGACTCTTTTAAGGTGCCTTTTTTTTCCTGAAAGTAGATGGGATAAGGAACTGTAGTCTTCAATGTAAATTTACACAGAGTAACTCTAGCAATGATCAAATCCAACCCTTCTGAGCTACATGGCAAACAGCTACAGACACCTTCCTGTCTCTGCTCTATTCCTCTGTAATAGAGCTGGCTCTGGCAGCCTTTTCCTTCCCTGCTTCCCTTCCTTCTGCTACCCCGTGAAATGGGGCTCCACACAGCTCTAAACTCAGAACATTTCATTTCATCTCTTCATATTCAGAGGTTACTGCAGGCAAAGCAGAGCAGAGCAAGGCAGGGTGATGCAGGCAGGGGGGTACAGTTCTGCAGCTCTCACCTGGATGTTAGAGAGCTCCTTCTTGATCAGGAAGCTGACTTGATCCCTGTCATTCCTTGAGTAATAGAGGCGACAGCAGGATGGTTTTCCATCTCTCCCAGCTCTGCCAGACTCCTGGTAATACCCAGCCATTGACTTGGCAATATTCCAGTGGGCAACAAATCTGCAGGGGGTAAAACAGGGAATGTGAGGCTGCAGGTTTCTCAGAGACTGGTGTCTGTGGGCATCAACAACAGCAAAAAACAGGGCAGAAAACATAAAAGAGGATGGAACACAGCAAGAGAATTTGCACACTGAAGTTTCAGTCCTCTTAACACACAAGACATGGAAAGCAGCAGAGCTGTAAGAAAACAAATGCACCTGGGCAGCATGTGGGCAGGATGCCACTCCACATGGATAGAAAAGAATGAGCACATGAGTATCCCAAATATGCACACAACTGTGCAGCTATGAAGACTGGGAATAAGAACACTGAATTAAGTAGTTGGGGATGTTTTATCATAAAATGAAGCATTAATAAAAAAGTAATATTTATTTTGTGGCACATAACTGCACCATTATGAAACACATATTTAAATATTTTCTTTTAAAAAGACATTTAGCCAAAATCTCCATGGGAAATTCCACCTCATTGTGCTTCTCAGATGAAGACAACCTTCCTAACCAAAAAATATGACTACAGAATCATTACTAAATTTTATGTAATCTCTGCAGGAAGGCTTTCAACACAGCACTGCAAGACTGCTTTAAACCTGCTTGTACCTGACTATTCAGCAATGCAGCTTGTACCTGTTTTGGGAGGATTGCACAGTAATGCTGCCAATGTTTTCAAGTCTGCCTCAAAGCCAGCATGACCCAAGGGCAGGTATGATGCATATGGGTGTAGCTAAAGATTAAATGACAAAAGCAAGCAAATGGTGTTTCTTCAAACACAAACAGCCCAGGAACAGGCCAAGCAGGAAGCAACAGAGTCCTGCACATTTAAACCCCATCAGGAAGTTTGCTGAATAAATTGATAAATAATTTTAAGCAGAACTGAATTAACAGTGAAGACAGAGGAGCAGATTCCATCAGAATAAAAAGAGACACCACCTCTGTTTTCCCTTTTGTCCAGAAGAGTCAACTCCAGAAGTTGTCAGACCTGATCTGATTTGATAACATATGCATGAATACTCAGAAATCTGCCAGCACAGAGCAAAGGCTAAGCAGCAGTGCCTTGTTAACTAGGCTTGGGTATAATGTTCTTTAAGTTATTTTTAAAAATCCTGTAAAGAGTCGTTTTAACTCTTGTAAGGTAACCAGATTACAAGTATATTTCAGCTATATTTCACTTTCAGTCAGCCCTATGCATTTCAGTTACTCTCTGTCTTTTTGAATGACCACTGGACAGGGCAGAGTGCTTCAGCAGGTCATTAATTCATGTCCTAGGAGATTCCTCACTTCTCTGTTTGAAAAGATGCACCAAGGAGTACAATTGTCACTGCTATGGCACTGTTTCCTGGCAGCACAGTGGGCAGGGATGGCACAGTTGTGAACTGATGGGATTGGCTCAGTGATATCCTGCCCTTCTCTCACAGTATTCAGAGCAGGTTCTGTATGTGGATTTTAGAGATCAGGTCTGTTGTGGGTGTTGTCTGAGCTGCACCTGAATTTTCCCTCTAGTAAGTGCTCACAATAATAACTCAGCACAGCCATATTGCAGGGCAGGAATTCCAACCCAGAGCCCTTATGGGGACAGCAATCTCAGAGGAACAGCAAACCATGTGCAAAGTTTCTGTCCTTGGACCAGAGCTGTATTTTTATATGGTTATTGCCATTTGTGAACGGCTATTTTTTCCCTATTGCAATGCAAGAGATCTCCAAAAAAAGCTGGCTCTGACTATTTTAATAGAGGGTGGGTGAATTATTTTAGGTGCAGATTTTCTTTCCACTGCTTTTAGACAGCAACTATTGTACTAAGAGAAGTGAAAGAGACAGCTGTGATTGCACTGAGAGGGCTCTTTCTGAAACCCTGGGGGGTGTGGCAGAAAAGCATTCCTCCCATTTTCTTGATTTTAAGGCTGACTGGCAAAGAGGAGCCCTGCTGCCTTGTGTTTAACGTTTTTACAAAGCCTTCCCAAAGGTTTGGTTTTGCTGCTTTCAAGATAAAAAACTTCCAGCACTGGTTTTGTTGGTTTAAGCAAGTGTTCATCAGGCAGTTGAATCAGGTGGATTAGGTAACAGAGCCTGAGACTTTTCCTTCCCCCTGCTCAGGTTTCAGTCTCTGATGGTGCACAGCACTCAGCCTCACACACCTGACATTTCCTTTGTCTACTCCCATTCCAAAACTGATGGTTGCAACAATGACAGGGATCTTCTCCTCCATCCATTCATTCTGGACAGAAGTCCTGTCAGCTGCCTTGAGCCCTGGGAAGGAAAATAGAAGAAAGTAAACAACACCACAAAAAACCAGACCAAAACAAACAAACAAACCCCAACCCCCCAAAAGAAAAGAAAACCAACAAAGAAACCTGTCAAACAAAACAAACTCCCCCCAAAAAAGAAGGAAAGAAACAAGAGGATTTTCCTTCTCATCCATTGCCCCATTGCAGGCAAACTCCCTCACTGAAACTGTCTGATGCACACACTCCTCTCTTCCCAGTGTTTGAACTGGCCTGGGACCAAGCAGAAGTCAGCAGCAGCTGGTTTTATTCCTGAGAAAAACATCTAGCTCCCCACCCAGGATAAAAGCAGTTGTTCTATCCAGGCCATGAAAGATCCAACAAAACCAACAGTTCTGGAGACAAGGGTACGCCATTGTGGTGAGGGCCTGCCCTTACCTCACAGACCTGATGTGTGAGCATCACACAGAGTGCAGAGCATGCCTAGAAAGCTGTTTCCTAGGTAGCCCCAACCCAGGTGGCAGAGTTCAGTTCTCCCAGCTAGTGAGAGATGCAGACTGCAGTACCTGCATGGTAGGCCTTGGCCTTCAGCCCTCTGTAGCTCAGCTCAATGGCCAGCTGGTCACACACATCCCTCATCCTGCAGTACACGATGCCACAGCCAGAGTACACCTGGGAGCCAGGAGAGAAAGGCCAGGACACTGCCTGAAGTCAAACAACAGAGCTGCAAGTACAGCCCCTCATCCTCTCCCAGTAGATACAAGGCAAGAAGCATCTCACAAACACACCCAGCTGCAGAGGTTATAGCTGAGCTGCAGAGTTATTTTGAGAATTAGTGTTAGAGCAGGCAATTCAACACTTCAAATCCTTCTGCTCACCCTCACAACACTAAAAATGCAGAACACAAACATAAAATGGTCACAGAAGATGTGACAAACCAAGTGGAAATGCTTGTTCTCTATTCCTAATCAATTTTCTTTTAGACTAACTCCCTTCTTAGGATACCTCTGACAGGACCACAGCCTTCACACTCTGCCTGTTTTGGGGGAACTAAAAAACATATGTGTGCACTTTCAGAGGACTTAGAAAATACACACAAGCACTCTCCTTCCTGGGACCTCCTCAATTCCTGCCACAAACCTGTCAGGGCCTCACCAACCCCTGAAAGGCCAGGGAACATCAGGGTAGATCTTGTCCAGTTTAGTTTTCTTCCCTAAAGGAAAAACCTACCCCAGCAGCTCCCTTCACTTCCAGCGCCTTCAGACAGAAATCCCTCAAGTCGGCGTAGGGATCAGCGAGGAGCTCTTTGAACTGCACATCATAGAACAAGTTAGATCTGAAACAAGGAGTCTTGAAGGTGGAAAGTGGCTGCTTGAGCTTGAGAGCTGCCACCACGTCCTCCTGGACCTGCTTGGTGGCAGTGGCAGTCAGGGCCACGCAGGGGGTGCGGGGGACGCGGCTGCGCAGGGAGCCCAGGCGCAGATAGTCGGGGCGGAAATCATGTCCCCACTGGGACACACAGTGAGCCTCATCTATCACCAGGTAGGACAGCAGGTTTCTGGCCACCAGGGAGTTCAGTGTTGGCTGGAAGGAAGAGGCAGCTGCCATCTCTGGGGTGATGTACAGGAGCTTTACTTGAGGCTTCTCGCTTGCCAAGTCGGCCAGGATGGTTTTCTTCTCCTGGGCAGACAGCTTGGAGTTCAGAGAGCAGGCCTTGATCTTCAGAGCCAGCAGATGATCCACTTGATCCTAGAGTAAATACAAAATAGAAATTAAAATCAAATGGGAATAAAGAAAGTCATCAGCACCAAGAAAGATTAGTAGGGAGAGCCAGGTGAGGCCCCAGCTTCCACCTCCAGGACCAAATCCCAGGACCTACAGCCCTGTGAGTTACAACTTCCATTCTAGATGCCTTTTCCTTCACCTGTGAGCTCCATCCAGCTCTTACATTCAGATGCCTTTTCCTTCACCTGTGAGCTCCATCCAGCTCTTACATTCAGCTGCATTTTTGTGCATCCATTCACTTTAAGACAGTTTTTTTGCTGCTAGGGAACACCGGCAGGGATCTGTGCAGAACAAGTCATCACAGGCTCAGTGACCTGAACACATCTCAGCATTTACACTCCAGAGCTGTCACAGATGGAAAATGAACACTCCCACCCTGCAAGAACAGGGAGCAGCTCACTCCTAAATAACTGCAGGATGTCCTAACACAACTGAGACAGGACAAAGTGCAAGGACCATGCAAATCACCACTGCAGCAGAACCAGAAGCATGGGTGAGAATTGTGTCATGAAATCCAAGAAGAAAACATTGCATCACATCCAGATGAACACTGGCCATACAAATTCACTTCCCTGTCCCCTGCTCACTTGCACTTGACTAGCACCTGACATTTCAGGATATGAAGAGTCCTGAAAAGCAGGTGTCTCATTATTTTACTCAATACCTGGCTTCAATAATTGATTTAATGTCTGTTTCTGTTTTCTGTTCACTGTCACCCCTCAGCCTTCCCTATAATGAAGTGCACAGGCTGAACTCTTGAAGTTTGGCTACACTGAAATACATCATGATCATTTCAGGCACAGCAGCCCCTTCTCAGGGCTGGATGAGAAGACTCTGGGGGTTTACTCCAGCTCTATCCTCTAAGACTCCAAGAGCTCATCTCAACCTATTTATAACTCTTTATCAATGATATCTTAACCTCCATTTCATTGATATTGGCCATGCTGGAGTTTCATCAGTAATCCTCACACTTGGAACAAATTCACTGTTTATAGTATCATCCTGAGAAGTACCACCAAGCCTGCTATCATTTTTCATGTGTATTACAGACTGTAAAGGAGTTAAATAATTCCACAAATAGCAAATCCCAAACCAGCAGCCTGCAGCAGCAGATGTCACACAGTGCTAATGGTCTGCACAAGTCTGAGCAATGCTACAGCTGTTCTTACAGGAAATTGTTTCTCCCAACAGGTGATGAAACAGTAGAAAAGGCAAAACAGAGGAAAAAAAGTCTCACAGATGAAAATGCTCATGGAGCAGCTCTACTAAATCAGCTTCTTCCCATCACAGATTGACTGCAACAAAAAGACATTTTGATGCAGAATGAATTGTGCCTTCAAAGGCAACTTCATCACTCCTGGAGTTATTAGTTTATAGGTAAAGTAGCAGGTTTTTTTCTGGTTAAAGATCTATCTTTTGGTGCATTTGAGTTACTCTGCTTTGCTGCTAATGTCTGGAGAAAATGGAGAAAGGTTCAGTTGTAAAAACCACCAGGTTATTATTAAAGAAAAAACCATCCTTATAGAGAAATGCAAAGTGTCATACCAGAGATACCCTGCTGTCCTCACCTATGCCAGGGCAAGGAAAGCACACTGAGACACCAGGAGAATCCAGAGGCAGGTGAGCAGCACAAAGACAAGAGGGCAGCTGCTGTGCCTCCAGAGGCTCCCCTTCCCTGGCTGCTATTCCCCAGCTAGCAGAGACAGTTACCTGGATCAGTGCAATCAGAGGTGAAATGACAATGGTGATGCCCACTGCCAGAACTGCAGGAAGCTGGTAGCACAAGGATTTCCCTGCCCCTGTGGGCATGCACACAAAGACATCCTTCTCTCCTGCAAAAACAACAGAAGAAAGCTCAAGGCCTCTGAGTGGTGTTGAGTTCCTGGGGCTCAGGCAGGAACAGCACCTGTGTGCATGTACCAGGTGGCACAGCAACAAAACCCTTCAGTGTAGGTTCTAAAAGCACAGCAACACTTTGCATGCCAGCAGTGGTTTCCTTCAAAGAACCTCAGATTGCTTTGTAAACATCTAGAGGCAGCTGTACAAAAGTACCAGAAGATACACAGAAACCAAGATAAGGAGAAGTTAAGTTATTCATGCTGAATCTCCTCCAGAAAAGGAGATCTCTTCCTGCTTTCACTCATTTTACAGCCCTCCACTTACCACATTACCAGCCCCACGACAGAACTTCACCACATCCTCTTAAAGCTTTTCCCAGAAAGGCCCCTCACATGAAACAGGAGCTGGAAATCTCCACACTGATCACATCCTGCAGTGAGTGACTGCTCCTGCACTAACCAGGATCCAGCTCGAGCCAGGAAGGTGCAGAGACACCAGGTTAACAGGCAGAGACACCTTGCCCACAGAATCCCACTTCTGACAGGTCTGTTGTCAACAGTGAGTGGTGACAGATGGAACTGACCTGGGCACTGCTCTGATTCACACTGAGAGAGCTGCTGGGGGAGCTGGCAGCTTGTTTGTGTGAGCTGCCTGTCCACCCCCAGCTGGCTGTTGGACCATGTGTCAACACCAGCACAAAAATGTTTCTGATAACAGCCCCATGAGTCTGAGGATCTCAGCTATGCCAAGAAATCAAGTCCTCTGCTGGCATTGTCTTTAACACAAGGACAGTTTTACTCTGAAAATGTCTGAATGTTTGATGCCACCTGACCACAAACACACTGGCAGGTGTGAGGAGACAACTAGAAGAGACACCAACAGTGCTGCACTTTCCATTTCCCATTTCCATGGCTGATACAATGACGGTGTCACAAAGCAAATGAAAGGAAAAGAAGCAGGAAAAGAAGCAGGAAAAGAAGCAGAGCTCGTGTGCAGCACGTGCTCCAGGGCCACCAAAGCCACCTCAGAGCAGAGGAGGGCGGGGAGGGCAGGGCACTCAGGGTGGGATCTGCTCACAGCAGCACCACAGCACCTCCTGCAGCGTCCCCCACACGGATGCAGACGGACAGACGGACAGCCCGCCGTGCTCCACGCGTCTCCCGTGCCCAGCCTCACCTCTCGCCACAGCCATGGTCGCGCTTTCCTGCAGGGAAGTCTTGAAGGACTCGAAGCCGAAGACTTTCTGCAGTGTTTTCCGGACCCTGCCCTCCAGGCCCGGCGGAGCCTTCCCGCTCATCCTGAGGAGGCCACAGGACCCTGAGCTCGACCCGGCCGCTGCCACCCTCCCCTGCCCCGGCCTCCCCCAGGGCTCCCCTGCCCCACTTCCCCTTTGGGCGGCTCTCTCAGGGATGCTTATCCAGACCCCTCACTGCAGAGGGCCGCGCTGTGTTTGCTGTGGCTCAGCCCCGTCCCCGTAGGGCACAGCCCAGGGGCTCAGAGCGGGGAGGGGATCAGTGCCCGCCAAACCCGGCATGGAGGGGCTGTGGGGGCAGGCGGCTCCTCCTCACCCATCTCCCTTCCTCCCCTGTGTCCCTGCATCCCCTCCATGTCCCCGTCCCACCTCCGCCCAGTCCCGGCCCCCACTCTCCGCCCTCGCTCCGCACCCGGCAGGTGCTGTCGCGGCGCCACAAAATGACGTCAAACGCTTCCCTTAAAGGGCCAGCCCGCGCATTTTTCATCCCCTCTCCTCCCCCGAGACGCTCCGCTCCGCCCGGCTGAGGGTTTTGCCCTCCGGCCGTGATTTCTCCGAGCAGCTTCTGCTCCGGCCGTGCGGGCGGGACGGCCCCGGTGCTGCGGGAGCCGCTGAGGGCGGAAGGAGGGCAGCGTTGCCATGGTGACAGCGCCGTGTACGTCATCCCCGCGCGCCGGAAGTGCGCCGCGGCCGGGGCGGAAGATGGCGGCGGCGAAGCGCAGCGTTCTCTCCTCGCTGGCCGTTTACGCCGAGGACTCGGACCCGGAGTCGGACAGCGAGGCCGGCACGGCGGGGAGCGATGGGGGAGCGCCCACGGGTGAGGGTGGGCGGGGGGCCGGGACAGGCGGCGGGCTGCGGTGCCGGGGCTCCCCCGCGCGGCCTGGCGCTTTCCCCGGTGTGAGGGGAAGGCCCCGCACGCTGCCACCTCCCCTTCCCTCAGCGTTTTCCTTTTATCTTCCTCCTTAGGAGAGAAAGGAGGCCTGGTGTCAGTTGGGTACGGAGAAGATGACTTTACCCGGCTGGAGGGGGACGAGGAAGGGTACGAGGAGGAGGACGATGAGAACAGCAGGCAGTCAGTAAGTACCTCCCTGCTCCGGAGCTTCTCTTGACCCCTTACACAGGCTGTAGAGACTTCTCTCTTTCAAATAAAAACTCCAAATAGCGACCCGTGATGGAACCCGAATATCTGAGTCCTGGTGTGGGTTTCAGCACTTCCCACCTCGTCCTTTCACTTTGTTTTCAAGTACAAAGCATTTGCCCTGAGCCCATCAGCAGCTTGGCACAGCTCGTGTTGCTCGTTAGTGTGTTGGTGTCCTTGGACTCTTTTATGGGAAAAAGGCTGTTACAGCCACTCCAAATAAAAGCTGTTCTTTAAACATAGTTCACTTAGAAGAACCTTGTAAGAGGAGCACACTTTCAGCTGGTGGATTTAAAAGAACAAACTTCTGTGCTGTGTTAAATTATTCTTTTGTGTGCAGCTCCATGCACTCCCTGCATCAAGGCACCTTGATGTAACAGTGTCCTGTCTACATGTGGGTGGCTTTTGTCTGTCACAGGTGCATGGCACGTGTCTGATATCACCTGGATTCTGAGATAACAGCAGTGTGGGGGGACAGGCATGGAGCTCACAGTGTGTGAGAGCAGCTGCATCACACAGAGGGATGTGTAGTTCTGCCTGGGTCTGGGGGAGTGAAACAATAAGTTTGGAGGGGGAAAGGGAAGGCTCTTATCTACTTTCTTTATTGTCAGTGTTTTATCTTCTCCCTGTTCCAATGTTCCAATTCTTTCCTCTGTGACATAGCCAAAAACCTAGGACTACTCCTGTAACTTTTCCTCACTGGGATCTGCTCTGTGTGTGTTGGATCAGTCTCTTAGGAGACACTTTTTTCTGCCATTTGTCTGCCCAAGCAGCAGCCAAAGAGTTCCTCAGTCTCTTGTTCCTGTTTTAGGTTCTGTTCTGTTGCCTGGTGTCTCCCTAGGCAAAGCAGTGAACCTTTTTACTGCTTCAGTGATTTTTCTTTTATATCCACCACTTCTGGACTCTGCTTCAGTGAGGTCTGGGCAGTCCAAAGGAAGCCCTGAGTGTGATCCAAGTGCTTGCCAGGGCCAGCTGTGTTTAGTTAGGGTTGTAAAGGGCTGGTAGATGGAGTGGCTTTATGGCATGCACAGCTTCTGGTGCAGGTTGCAGCTGCTGTTCAGGAAAGGACAGTCAGTCAATCCCTGCTGTCAGCCACTGGATCTTGCTTGGGTCTGTGGTTACAGTGCAGGTTGCACAAGTTACTTCCTTTTTTTTTTTTTTATTAAATATTCTCTGAGCAGATTTGAAGACTTCCTTGCCATTGCTTGTGCTGGCAGCTCATGGGGGGGAGATGAGTTGTTTTTAGAAAGCAGAGTGAGGTGCACTCAGGCTGTCCTGTGCAGCTCAGTGGGTGTTTTATCTGCTTTAACAGTGACTGAAAAGCCTCTGGTTTTATTCCAAGCCACTTCTCAGCAATGCTGCTTTGTTTGTTCATGTCCTTACTCCCTGCTAGGTCAGAGCTTTTTGGGAGCTGTTTCAGTTCCTGTCTGCAGCATGGATAATTCAACCCATTATTGCTTTGATGGAAATCACTTTTATCTGTATAATAAAGACTGTAGAAGGGAGAGCAATCTCATTTGTGTAAACACCAAGTTAGTTGGTTCTTTGCTAGTTACAAACTCACTGTAACTAACCTCTGACAGTCTGGACTGAATTATTGTCATGTGTACATCTTGCAGAAAGGGAAGGTGGAGTGAAGGAGTTTGTGTCTCAAATCTGTAAGAGAGGCATCTTAATTCACTCAGTTAAAACTTCCTGCCATTATTTTGTGCTCAGCCTTGTCAGAACTGGCTCCTGTGCCAGTGCTTTGAGGTGGGCAGTTCCTTGTAAACTCTTCCTTTCAGTTGCATCTCTCATTTCACTTTTGTTGCCTTTTTTGAAGCTGAAACACCAATTTCTTGGTTTTAGGCCAACATTGAAATTTGTGGGAAAGTTTGGAAGAAAAACCATTTTGCTGAGTGGTGTGAGCATGAAAAACACTTCCTGCTCCTCAAACTTGTTTTGAACCCAGAGTATGTGTTTATGCCTAGAAACAGGGGTGCTGGGAGGGTCCCCAGTGAGGGGACAGCAGCTTTACTGTGTCCAGCTCCCAGTGGGGACCAACCTGGAGCTTCCTGCTCTCCTGGTGTGGATTTTCACACAGTGCTTTGTTCAGGGCAGAAGTTCCCCCAGCTCTTTGGTTTATTTCTAGTTCATAAAAGAGTTGTTTAAAAAATGGAGACTTCACCTGGAATTTGTCAGTGTTCCCTTGTGTGGAGGTTCACAGCATCTGCAAGCAAGGCACAAGAGCTCTGCACCAGCCAGGAGGTTGTGTCTGCTGGATCCCTGGATCCCTGGAACTTGCTGCTAGGCCAGACCCTCTCTCTCCTGCATGTTTGGTTTGCTGGCAGGCCAGCTGTGTGTCCTGTGTGTGTTGCTGATGCTTGGGACTATCCCAGGTCTTGCAAATGCTGCTTTTTCTGTGGGTACTGCTGAACAGAGGCTCTTCAATCACCACCTGCTAAATGGAGGGGACAGAATTATCAAAGGACAAATGCTTTTGTTCTCTAGTTCTGCTGCTTCTTGTTGTCTAATTCTGAGCATTCCAGAGCTGCATGATTTTTGTAGGCACAACTGCTGCTGAGTGATGCTTTTGCCTACAAAAACCCCCCAAAACCAAACAAACACTCCTTCCCCTGATTGTAGGACTTGTTTTCTGGTTATGAGTGGGTGGGGCAAAGCTACCCTCCATGGAGAAGGGTCTTGGACTGCTGCTGGGCTGCTGAATGCCCTTTGCTGTAAGTTCAGTTACTTGCCAGGCCTGCTCTTTAAGCTTAATCCTGTAAATTCTTGTCTTGTAGGAAGATGACGATTCAGAGACTGAAAAACCTGAGGCTGGTGACCTAAAGGTATTTGAAAGTGTGGTCTGGTGGTGGTGGGGAAGCTCAGTACAAGAGGAGTAAGTTTTAACAGCATGGCTTGGTGTTCTTTTGTGATCTGTAGTTAGTTCCACACCTTTTGTAGCTTTAACCTGTGTTTCTGACTTTCCAAAGGCAGATATCACAGGCTGAGTCACAGTGGAGTTTGGCCTTCATGAATTTGCTCATGTTGTGCATTAGATCTGAAGGTTGCTGACAGCATCTCACCTGTTTTGCAGTGATGTGGGAGGTGCAGCATCCAGTACAGAACTCTGTATGACCAGTGTTAGTTGGAATAATTTCTTCATTTAGAACTTAATGAGTGAATTATCCTGTGCTCTTACAGGCCATGGAAGGTGTCAAAAATCAATTCAGTTGTCTCCAGCTCTGTCCATCTGTTTTGTAGTTTTGTAAAGGTCATAGATAAATTTAAAAAGTGAAATAAGATCCCCAGATAATAGCTATTATCATAAATAGTTGAAATCATCTTTATTTTGGGATTTCACCCTGTTTCTGTTTAACAGTGTTTAACAGCACACAGGACATGGATCAGGGTAAAAGCTGGAGGACAAAAGGCCAAATCCAATTGGAACTATAGACAACTGTGTTTAAATTTTTTATGTTAGTTCAGTAGAAGCATTCCTGTTCATCAGGGATGCTGAGGGATGAACAAGTGCAAGGGCATTTATTTTATCCAGCAGCTTCCCCAAGGATGCAGGCAGTCCCTAAACTCTGCTACAAAAACCAGAGGACTGTGCTGCAAAGCAAAATTCTGTAGAGAATTTGATTTTCCACAGGGCTTTGATAGGCTAAGATGAAGGCAAATGGATGTGTTTAGCTATTCTGTTTGAATTAGTTTTATAGCAGCACCTTCTTCCAGGTCCCACAATATTCTTATGACTTTACAGTGATACACAGCTGGAAATCTTGGCAGCTGTTCTGCAGCTGGTAAAGTCTCAGTGTGTGAAATGGCTCCCAGGCACTTGGAAATGGAATGTGTTTTCTCCTTTCCTTGTTGCAAGAAAGAAATTTTTATTTGAAAGAAAGCAAAAGGCAATCTCTTTTCCTTTGTCTACTTCTACCTTTTTGCCCAGGTAAACATGCTAGAAAGATTTTTCTGTAAAAACTGCTGGATTCAAATATGTGCTAGAAAGTAATACTTGATAATCATCAGCTCTTTATTATGTTTAACTTTTGTTGATCCAGCATACCTGCAAAGTAATTCTCCTGTGTTATGGTGTGTAGGTGTGTACTAATACTTAGAGGCTTTTGACTTGGGATTTCCTTAGAAGATTAATTTGGTGTAAATCAAGTTTTTGAAGTTGTGTAGTGGGGCCCTCTTGCAAGTGTGTGCATTTCTGTCTGCTCTAAATGGGCTGTGGGACTTCAGGGCAGTGGAGAATAGGTCTGGCAGAGAGAAAGAACAGAATTAGACTGTAGTTGTTCTTATCTGAGTAACCATACATGACAGGAATCTCACCACTGAATTGTGTGGGTGCTGCTTTAATATGTCACTGACATTTCATGTTGGCTTTTTGAAAAGCCTCTTGCTTTCAGTGGGGTTTGTGTGCTGCTGTCCAGGTGCATTTTGTGCTTCTGAAGAAGAGCCTCATGTGGCCACAGAGCAGCATTTCAGCTTCAGTGAGGAAGCAAAGAAATAATGAATGTATTCAAAATAAACAGCTTTTTGTATCTTGGTAGACTGCAATAGTAACTCTGCAAGAACTGAAAATGTGAATGAAAGGAAATAAATAAAATAATGGTAAAATGTAATTCCTGCCATCCCATTGTGGCGTGAAAGGTGAGGATTTGGGAAGAGTAGGAGGGAGGCAAAGCTGAACTGAGTCTGAAACTCAGCAATTTCAGACTTCCATCTCATCCTTAATAGATATCTTCAAACACAGCTGGAAAGGGAATTGTGTCCTTTGGCCTTTTGATGTTTTTTGAATATTGAGTGATAGCTGCAGGGCCAGCTGGCACTGGGTGAGCTGTGGGGGCAGCCCAGTGCCCTGCTGGGTGTGCCTGTGGGGCCCTGGTGCAGCTGCACCAGCCAGGAAATTCACTTGGGGTGGGGAGGGATGGAAATTATTGTACTTGGAGCAGTTGCAAATGTTTCCTTTCCTCTTTTTCCACCAAGGGGCAGTGTTCTCCTCCATGGAGCTGTAATGTCTGTGACAGCTAACAAGTGTTGCTGTTACTGTAAATCCAAAGTGCAGCCAAAAGGGAGCCCTTTGATTCTAACTTGCTTACACTTTTGGGTAATTTAATTTTGTTTTGAACCTGCAGAGTGCTGAGTAGTTGTGCCTGCTCAGTTTCATGGAGACATCAGAGACCTGCAAACATGTTTAAATAGATTCCCCATGCTCTTTATATATGGCTAGGGCTTTTCCAAGGTCTGAATCTGACCACAGGCAGGAAGTAAATAACTTAAAATGTATGAATGAGAAAAAGAAAATGCAATTAAATTCATCAGTCAATTATAGTTATTTCAAGTCCTGAAGATGGATGGATGGATGGATGGATGGATGGATAGATAGATAGATAGATAGATAGTTGGTTTGTTTTTTTTTTTGGCTGGTGTTTTGCCTCTTTGTGCATATTGTGAATGAACTACCTAGAGCTTATACCTTGAATAATGGAGCCAGGTTCTGTGGCTCCATTGTGTTCCCTTGTTGCTGGTGCATCCTGTGGCTTGGCCTCATTGTGCACTTGGATAGTGCCAGAACCAAAACCTCCAGAAGGGTCAGTTGGTGTCAGTTGTGGGTGGAATCAGAGGAGACAGAAAGTGGGGAATGAAGTAAAAATTCTTTGGTCAATTGTTGATGGGGATGGAATTTGGAGCCTGCCTCAAATAGCCCTGTTGGGAAGATATTTATTTTACATTTGTCTGAGGCTTTTCTCTCAATTCCAGGGACTCTGCCCTCATTGTTTTGATGAAGGGGCACCTCTCTGCCTGTTCAGCCCTAGTTCCTCACTGGAGGGGAAGCCAATACAAAATTCTGGTGGCACTGCAGCTTTCCTTTTTAGCCAAGGAGCAAGTCACAATAAGCTAAGTTCTACCATTGTGATGTCAAACTCCTGCTTGGTGAGATAGAGAAGTTTTATGCACCTGTTTGCAGGAAAAGGTGTGCCAGGAGGAGGAGAATATTTAAGCCTCATCAGTCACCTGGAAGCATTCTTCCAGAGCAGACTCTTGGCCCATGGAATTCATGTTACTGAGCATCTGTGTGTTATTCAGAAATACTGTGCTTGCAGCAAAAAGCAGAATCCTTTTCTTTAAAAGCAGATTTAGATATATAGATAGGATACAGGAGACAGTTGTATCCTGTAACTGCATTTTGAAATGCTTCAGGCACTCAAGGGAAACTGGAGATTCAGATCTGGGTAGAACTAACTGCTCTTCCAGAAATCAAAGCTGGATGGATGCTCAGGCTCTGGAACAGGACAGGTTTGAGTGGCCACAATCCCTTTTACCTGAGCAGTCACCAGCTGGAAACAAGCACAGGGGCCTCAAGTGCCTTAAAAGCACTTTAGAAACAAAACCTTCTGCTTTGAAGGGACAAGAAATAGGCAACAAAATCTGTTGTTAAACAGTGATGTTAAAACGGTGAAATCCACAGCCTGGATGAGTTCTTTGTGCCCTTTCCTCAGCTGCTGGAGCCCTGGGTACAAACTGAAGGAGGTTTGGACTTGGGGAAGGACAGGGTTAACAGGGTGCAGGTTGCTGGGGCTCTGGCCAGCAGCTGGCTCTGGTTACAGCCTTGATGCAGTAACAAGATACAAGCTTTCAGAGCTCACTAAATGGACCAGCCCTGCTGGAAAATGAAAAATGAACCTTAAAATAGTGACCTTGTGCTCCAAGCCTCACCTGAGGGGTTCTGGGCTTCGTACTGGGGAGCTGGATGAATAAAAGGTTGCAAATGTTGATCAAGGACAGAGCCCAGCCCTGCAGCTTGGCTCCTGGAGCTTTCCCAGAGGGAAATCATTAACTCTTGAGCCTTAATTGTTGTATCAGGACCAGCCAGTGCAGAAAGCTAAGAAATTTGCCACTCCCTTGGCAGGTGAATGCCTGCCACATGGTAGCAGTTTTTCACAACAGGTGGTTACTTTGATGTTTTCCTTTCCTGGTTTTGTTTTGAGGGTCCCCTCTGCATCCTCCAGGTGTTGTGTGGAGAGGCTGCCAAACTGGGATCTCTCAGATCAGATTTTCAGAGGAGTACTGTGCCTCTAAGCATGTCTAGGTACCTCCTCTTGGTAATCATCAGCTCTTTATTATGTTTAGCTTTTATTGATCCAGCATACCTGTAAAGTAATTCTCCTGTGTTATGGTGTGTAGGTGTGTGCTAATACTTAGAGGCTTTTTACTGCACTGGTTTTTTATCTTGCCTACCCATTGACCTGTTTGTTTAAATACCAAAATTATCTTGATTTAAAGTAAAAGTGGTAAGTGCTGAGAACCAGTAAATGGGTGTGTGTGTGTGTGTGTGCAGTAATGTAATCCCTGAAATTAACTCTTACTTTGATATGGCATATTAATTTTTCTGAATTCAGCATGCATTCATCAAGCCAGCTTCTCAAAAAATGCTTGAACCTACTCATTAACTTTAATCTCAGGTGTAATTATTTTGCTCCAAAGAAGGGGAAAAGTATGTTTGGGGAAAGTTCTGTCCTTAAGTTAACATCCTTGCATTATGCATGGCTGTGAGCATACCTCTGTAAACACTTTCAAAGCATGAACTGTGCAGTTCCCAGGGCTGGGGTCAAGGTTAGAACTCCTTTGGTTTGTTTCCTCACTCATTGCTTTGCCTGGAAGCACAGCCTGTAGGTGCCAGTGATAAGCACTGCAGTCTCAGATTCTTTTTCTGTGTTTCAGCTTCCTTTTAATATAATTGTGTAAAATGCTGTCTGTGCTTCCAACTCTGTGTGGCTTTCCCTTGTTTTAGGTTTATAGATGTTTTTTCAGAGCTCTAGAGAGAGAACCAGAGAGTTTA